GAGGGGGGGGGGGGGGGAGGGGGGGGGGGGGGGAGGTCTGAAAACAAACTGAGTTTAGTTTTTAAAAGTTTAAACATTTAACTGCTGCAGATAGCTTGGGTCAGATCAAACTGATGGGCTGGATGGATGGATGGATGGATGGATGTGAAGAAATTTATTGGCGTTTGTTTATGCAACCTCTGGCAAAAAGTATGGAATCACCAGTCCTGGATGAGCACTCTTTCAGACATTTCATTCTGTAAAACAAACTCAGATCAAAAACATGATACAATAATAAGATCATTCCAAATTTGTTGGCTTTCAGGAACACTCAAAGAAATGAAGAGAAAACATTGTGAAAGTCAGTGAATGTTACTTTTATTGATCATTGCCAGGAGTTGTACACTGACTTTAATTACACTACACATGGTATACTCTTATTATTAGGAGAACTGAAATAACTGTTATATTTTTTCTTTGTAAGCCACTTCAGTAGAAAACAGAAATGAGTGTTAGTTTAGTTTCTACATCATCAGTGACAGTTTTTAATAGAAGAGAAGAAAAAGAAAGAGAAGATTGAAAGAGGGATTAGACATGTGAAATATAAATCAAGACAACACACCCGATATCTGTCTGCACACCTGAAAAATGGAGAAAACAAAAACACAGCAACAAATAATGTGTATATCATAATTATAACTTTTCTGAAATATATACATACATACATATATAAATATACGTACACACATATATACATTTATACTTATACACATATGTATACATATCCACATCTATACTTACATACACCCTAAATGACCGTCAGAAACCCCAGAATCAGAACGCTTGTTTGTGTGCAGTTGTGAATGTGCATGTATACATATACAAGATTTCTCCAATGGAATATTTAATCATGACTATGGAGACCCAAAGACCCAACCCCCAAGACCTAAAGCGGACATAAGGGCGACCAGTGCCAAAGACCCCAAGAGTGACCCCAAGCGCGGAGCCTCCAGGGGCACCAGTGCAGGAAGAGCCATACACCCACCCCCCAGAGCGGACCATAGGAGAGATCCAGGAGAGCCCCCCCAGTGACCCCACACAGTAATCCCCGGGGCCGACAGCAGCGAGCTCACAGGCCCCGCCGGCACCTGCCGCAGGCAGTCACCAGGCCGAGCCGGCACATGCCCAAGCTCCCATCCCCAGACACCGAGGGCCACCAGTGCACCAGCAGGCACAGCACTGRAATAACTGTTAAATGTGATTATTTTTGCTTAAACTGATGATTTCGTGTAGACACATGCCTGAACACAGATTCAYCACATAATTGAACCATTAATCTTCATTAGGTCAGATTATARTGTCTTTGGACATGGCTCGAGCAAGGTGAGGAACCCCTTCCTGATGACGTAATAAAATAAGCGAAGTCTTGTCCTGCAGCTTTCTGTTATATRGAACTGACTTCAGGAAAACGGGCCTGAACGCAGACCAATAAAATGCCTTCAAACCGAGCAGCTCTGTGTGTGGTTGAATGAACTATTTTCTATTCAATTTCCATGCATTGGTACATTCTCTGTGTGGATCAAGCACATAAAATAGTAAAAGAACATGCTTAACAATATTTTCTTTCAGATGGATGGATGGATGCATGGATGGATGGATGGATGGATGGATGGATGGATGGATGGATGCATGGATGGATGGATGGATGGATGGATGGATGGATGGATGGAGAGTTTGATGTATGAAGGGATGTAGAGAGGGATAGATAGATCGATGCTGAATAGATGATGGATTGAATGGATGGTGGGAGGGATGATGGATGGATGGATCAATGAAAAATGGATGGATGGGTGGATG